GGAGAATGGGAATGGATTGGGGATTGGATCAGATAGAATGCATGCGCAGCAAGTGAGAAACATTGAACGGCTTCACTGCATGAAGGACAGCACAGCACAGCACACCACCACAGCATACCATGGCCCCTGCACAAAGATGACACCCATAGATCCAGAATCGTTTTTTTCTTTCCTTCGGCTGTATCCAGAGTAGTTTTAATTCCGGGAGCCAAGTCGCACTTGCCGAAATTGTTCATTTCTGACCTTCGATTTCTGCAATCTAGGGTCAGGAATGGAGGCGCGGATGACTGCTCATAAACCAACGATCAAGGAAACCCATCAATATAGTCCAGCATATCCATAAATGGATAACGGCCATAATAAGAATCGATTGCAAAAGTGGGAAAATAGTACTTAGGAACCCATTAGAAATGGAAGGACTTACCTTTCTCGTCCTTTGTCGAGTTTCAAAAATAGCTCGTCGTGGTACTTTCACAGCAGAATTTTTTTTTATTATTATTCTTTTTTAAAACAAAAATTTTCCTTTTCATCACAGCACAGCAGAAATATTCGCGGGGCCAAAGTTTCGGTGCAAAATACATATTTCGTTGCAGCTTTAGAGGCCCCGGTAGTTTCGCAGCAAAAATATTTGCAGCCGAAAACGCACTTTCCTTGCAAAAAAATAGATCTTTCGGACCCGTACAACATGTCTGCTGCGAAACCTCGAAAACGCACTATTTCTGCAATTTCCCCTATTACGTAACATTAGCAGTGCGAACGATCCACAAAAGAAAAACTATTATCAAACACCACTGTCGGAATCACCAATTATCTAATCATTCTACAGAAACGGAAATCCGCAGACCATAGACAAGAAAGTGGACGTCAGAAATTTTGGATCATTCACAAAGACATGCACGGACGGAAATCACTAAAATCTATCTATCCGTGAAAGATCCCAGGTTTTCGTCAGAACCATGGCAGTCATAGATTTTCAACAACAGCAACGCAAAGCCCCGATCTGTTCGAGGGGAGCATCACCGTCGGAATCACCAATTATCTAATGATTCTACAGAACTTCATGCACCAGAAATCGAAGGAATTCGACTGCATGAGAACGGAAATCCACAGACCATAGACAAGAAAGTGGACGTCAGAAATTTTGGATCATGCACAAAGACATGCACGGAAATCACTGGATCATACACAAAGACATGCACGGAAATCACTGGATCATTCACAAAGACATGCACGGAAATCACTGGATCATTCACAAAGACATGCACGGAAATCACTGGATCATTCACAAAGACATGCACGGAAATCACTAAAATCTATCTATCCGAGAAAGATCCCAGGTTTTCGTCAGAATCATGGCAGTCGTAGATTTTCAACAACAGCAACGCAAGGGCCCGATTTGTTCGAGGGGAGCATCACATGCTGGGATTCGGGCCCAATGTACCATCGAGTGTTTCCAGAAAAAAACTGACTGATGGCAAACTCACACTAAGACTTTTTCGACTTCTCTTTGGACGTAATTGCAGTCAGGGGCGTCCAGGCGGGATTGGAAAAGCGGTCATGGACACGGCTCTCGTGGATGTACATGACCGCTTTTCCAATCTCGGATAGACGCACCTGACACGCAATTACGTCCACAGAGTAGTGAAAAAAGTCCTAGAGTGTGAGTATGCCCTTAGAATGGCAGGAAAGCTACGGATTTACTCAAAAACTCCCAAATGAGCAGAAAGAATCTTGACTAAAGATCGATCTTCGGACCGCCCTCCAACATAAATTACCTCTTTTCAGCGGACGAAAGAGATGCAACACTAATTCAGACCAACTGGACACCTCAAAACGCGCAAAAGCTACGTTATGACTCAAAACCTCTCAAATGAGCAGAAAGAATCTTGACTGAAGATCGATCTACGAACCATCCTCCAGCATTAGTTACCTCTTTTCAGCAGATGAAAGAGATACTACACTAATTCACACCAACTGGACACCCAAAAACGCGCTCCGGACAAAACATTGTCGTGGTCTCCCAGATAACAAAGGCGAATCAGGATGTACGCTCGTGGGGGATACGTAAACAAGCGATTGGCCAATACGACTCTCTCGACGGAATCTTACCACTAATTGTTGTGGTCTCACAGATAAGAAAAGCCTGATACATCCTAAGCAGATACAGTGAGAATGATTTCGGAGGACAAATAACACCCACAAATTAGTCCCGACAATCAAACGATTCGCCAATAAACGCCAAGTGCAATGACATTAAAATCGCTTTCAGGAGAGCAGGATAGATGGAGAGAGAGAGGAGGAGAGAGTGAAAACGGAAGAACAGGGGCAAGTGAGACAGAGAGAGATAGAGAGAGATCGGAAGAGCGAAGAGCGCTTGGGAAACAAGCAACGAGCGCTTCTAGCAAATGCAACTAACAATTCGTACACAGAGAGGAAGAGAGCACAGAGAGAGAGAGAGAGGTAGGAAGAGAGAAAGAGAGAGCGAGGAAACGAAGATGACAATGAGCGCAGAACCGACAGACAAGAGATTGCATATGAGTTGGCTTGTTGATACTCACCGGCGAGGGCGCACTTCCCGGCAGCTTTGAAGGCTGTGTCGAACACCTGAACGACCGTCACACCCTTGGGAATGCAGGCGAATTTGGCGCTGAACACACTATGGTCGACAACGTTTCCGAAACCGCACACATCCGACACCGTAGCATCAGATGGAAGNCCCTTGGGAATGCAGGCGAATTTGGCGCTGAACACACTATGGTCGACAACGTTTCCGAAACCGCACACATCCGACACCGTAGCATCAGATGGAAGGAGAGCCTCRTCGAGCRAGTCGCACGACRATGCCGAGGGAACACGCGTACCATATCCAGAAAAGTGGAAGAACAGCACATCRCCTGCACACGCACCYTTCACCAACCAATCAAGCGCCGCCAGGATGCAAGCTTTCGTRGGCGGCKTTGTGCAAGCCTTAGCGCAGCTCGCATCCACTTCYSCATCGGMCAGCACGCACACGTCAGCCTCTGCAAATCCATACACCGTCGTGAGCGCTATCTTCGCCTGCACGACATCATTGAYCGCTCCATGCAGAGTAGGCAGATTGCTGTTGTCGCCATAGCTAGCGCCGATAAGCAACGCCCTGCGCGCCATTGTTGATTGATGATACGCCCGCGCCTTCTTCCGCCCTCGACCGAAGTCAAATTTCACAGCGGCAAAACGGCAGACGATAGCCCACTCCTAGCACTATCGCTTCCACTCGCACGTCCCTCCTGCCTCGGTGGGACAAAGCTGCTCTACGGTTAAACCGTCGTACAAGACGAAGGGCTATGAGTTCGCGTGTCTTGATCGTGCATTTATGTAATACTACACTCTGGGGTTCTCACTGGTTCTAACTGATTTGTTTATGTGGGGCCGCTAATATCCGACATGCATGCATATGGACAGTTTTTTTTTTTTTTTTTTTTTTCCTTCCTCTTTCATAGAGCACCACCCAGCTTCTATTCAGGCGTTGCGGGAGAGTATGAGGGGCGAGGTCCCATTAGCAAAGAGGAGTGGATTAATCACCTGAATCTGGACGTGTTTTAAATAGAGATGCAGAAAAGCAGGTGTATCTCGAACTCCTGCACCTTCCCAACTAACACGTCTAGATTCGGGCGTTCAATCCAACCCTCTATGCTGGTGGGGTCCCACCTCGCCCCTCATAGGGCCTCGCCACACCACTCTCGAAATGTGAAAAAGACAAAAACTTGTTGGGTGCATCTGGCCATGTTCTAGCGGGAAGTTCATTCTCATTTTGCACATTTCGAGAGTGGTGTGGCCATGCCCATACTCTCCCGCAACGCCTGAATAGAAGCTGGGTGGCAGCTAATGAATGTGAGAACAAAGCAATCGGTACTGTAGTCAGGGTGAATCCCAGTGAATTACTGATAGCGCCGCCATCATGAACACTATGAGCCTATGAGGGTATCAGGAGGCGGTGGGAACGCTATTGGATAGATGCTATGAGAGAACCGGTGAGGAGCAAACTTGAGCTGTACCCATTGTGTCCGCTAAAACTTAAAAAAAAAAAAAAAAAAAAAAAAAAAAAAAAAAAAAAAAAAGGGCTGGGTGGTGCTCTATGAAAGAGGAAGGAAAAAAAAAGAAAAAAAAACTGTCCACATGCATGCATGTCGGATATTAGAGGCCCCACATAAACAAATCAGTGAGAACCAGTGAGAACCCCAGAGTGTAGTATTTACATAAATGCACGATCAAGACGCGTGAACTCATAGCCCTTCGTCGAGGACACAAATGGCCTCATCCTGACAGCCGCCTTTTTACTGAACCGGCGTTTTCCCTGAACCTTTTTACTGAACCGGCGTTTTCCCTGAACTCTTCAAATCCTCCCCCGCGCCGCGTTTTCATGGGTCCCACTGGCGTGAGTTCTTCATTCTTGGGGCCTCGTTCCACTACTCGCCATCCGCCACAAACAGTGGCGAGACTTGGCGAGGCCGAAAAATGCATTTTTCTGGCGGAAAAAGGGTCTTGGTTCCATTACATTGCCGTCGCGTGCGCTACCATGTACTCGGACTGGAAATCACTCCAGGTGCAGCTAAAACTTCCCAACACTAGGGGCCAACGCAGGTCTACTGTCAGGATGGCTGTGTCAGGGGCAATGGCCACACGGGGTGAGGAGGGGTCTCGCTCCACTACTGTCTGCTGTACGATTTCAGATAGTAAGTCACCGCTCCACTTACTATCAGAAATCCACCTTCGGAAATCACCGTATGGATGTCAGATTCACCATACGATCCCGTATAGTTCACAGCCTGCAGAAGTCGTTACTTGGAGGGTAGTCGAAGGAGGTCGGCGTAGCATCGCAAAATCGTATGGAGCGCCTGGAGTCTGGGCCGACAAATTGATGTCTTGTAGTGCTGTGAGAGTGTTTTGTAGTGAACTCCAAAATTGGAGACTCGTATAGCGGATAGTAAGGGCCTCGTTCCACTACTCGCCATCCGCCACGCATGGCGGACGCGACTTGGTTCCACTGCATCGCCAATAGCCACGAAATGGAGGCTGTCAGAATTTAAGTGTGAAATCACTTGGCGATGTGCCGCCAAGGCTCTCCATTTCCCCTGCCTGCAACAGCCCTTCGTGGAGGCTCTACTCCTCACCCCTCCGCGAAATGCTTCGTGTGGCCATTGCCCCTGACACAGCCATCCTGACAGTCGACCTGYGTTGTCCCCTAGTGTTGGCAAGTTTTAGCTGCACCTGGAGTGATTTCCAGTCCGAGTACATGGTGAAGAGAAGGCGGCCACAGTTCCATTAGCTCGCCATCCGCCACAGTCTGGGGAGCAGGCCGGGACAACAACCACAGCGCACGTGGCGGCGGCGATGTAATGGAAACAAGACCCTTTTTCCGCCAGAAAAAGGCAGTTTTCGGCCTCGCCAAGTCTCGCCACTGTTCGTGGCGGATGGCGAGTAGTGGAACGAGGCCCTAAGTGGAGCGACACTAGGTTTTATACAGTTTTTTTTGCTCTGACAGCTATACGGCCGCTATACGAAATTTCGTACAGCAGATAGCAGTGGAGTGAGACCCGAGTAGAGCTTCCATGAAGGGCCGTTGCAGACAGGGGAAATGGAAAGCCTTGGCAGCACATAGCCAAGTGATTTCACACCCAAATTCTGACAGCCTCCATTTTGTGGCTATTGGCGATGCAGTGGAACTAAGTCGCATCCGCCATGCGTGGCGGATGGCGAGTAGTGGAACGAGGCCCTTGACCTCCGACGGTGGCTGGAATACGCAGATCCATGGCCAGAAATGAGAAACACCATCTACTGGTACTCGGCCCCTAGTCCCTTTGAAACCCCGCTCTCTAGCTGCACTACGGTAGCCCCCCCAAACTGCTCCCTGTACTCTCACCCGGAAAAACAAGAAGGAAAAAAAAGAAAGAAAGAACGTGTTTTCCTAGGGCGGTCCCACTGGCGTGTGTGCTTCATTCTTTTTTTTTTTTTTTTTTTTTCTTTTTTTTTTTTTTGGTTGTAGAGGCCAGTCACTGAGTACAGTGATCACCTGGAGCAGTAGGGCGTGGGTGTCCTGGACCACCTCCCATCCCATCCTCACGTCAATACTCCTCGCGCACCCCCTATCCCCACTATCCTACCTCAATGTGACCAGCACTCAGGACCATTACCCTACCTATGGCCAGGTAACTTGGACCGAACCACAGTGATAGGCACCAGGGCTGATAGGTTGCCCAGCCCTGGTGGAAGTGGAGTCGGACGAGCCTTGTCGAACGGGAACTTCGGACATCAGGCCCAGACAATCTACTACACGCCCCAAGAGACTCTGGGCCCTAGGTTTCAGACATGGTAGCACCCATTGAAGCAGTCTTACCATCCTTCCCCTATCTTACCCAAGGCCAGGCGGAACTCGGACTGGCCTGAGCGACTTATATCCCTACCCTTACCCCACGGTCTAACCCTTATATATAGCCAATAGACAGTTCTACCCAAATATCAGTAGGAACTCCAGTGGCCCATACTTGTCCCTACCGCAGATACTAGACCCCACCCAGTGACTACACCCCCCCAGTCTGATAGTTGTGTAGTTCGCAATGTATATGTGTACCCGAAGGCTGTGTATGCTTCGTGTATGTGACACTCAACCTCATGCCCTGCGCTGCTTCCCAGTCGGAGTGTTTTGGGCTTGCGGAAGGGGGTGACAAACTATTTTCTGTGATCGTGTGACTTTCTGTGTGAAGCTGCTTGGGGAAATACGATGGGTCGGATGGGTGAACTGTGGGAAGATGGGTCGGACGGGCAAATTGCATGGGATAATTGATAGAAAGAGCCCACGCCAAAACCTTTTCGGTTTTGGCCGCCCAAAGTTCGGTCGTTTGGTACTACCGGCCCAAACAACTTTCCCCTGGCTGAAAGGCGCCTTCGCGTCGTGGCCACATCTCCCTGGGCCTGTTTTTACCGGTTCCAGAATTTGGCGCTGTTTCTGCGCTAGATTCATGAACCGGTAGGGCCCTTCTTTTTCAAAATCGCGTATGTGGGCCTCATTCGATACTTCAGCGTTACCACCCTCGACCTCTTTTACATCGAAATGAATCTGGCGCTGTTATGCGTCAGATTCATGATCCGGTAGGACCCTTTGAGCGACGCGTGGGCCTGTAGTACCCCACATGCAAGTCATTGGGCCGGTAGTACCAAAAGCCTAAACTTTAGGCGGCCAAAACCGAAAAGGTTTTGGTGTACGCCCCTTCTACCGATTATCCCAAATTGCATGGATGTTCTTGTTTCTTTTCGTTTTCTGCTGGAAGTTGTCGGATCGGTGTGGGGAAAATCCCCTGCCAACGGTTGGGTACCCGCGCCTTAGCGAGCGTGAAAGATAACTGTACCATAATTTCTTTCTTGTTCTACTGTGAGCACTGAGAATTTGGGCGCGATCAGCACGCGGGAATATCGTTTTTGAATTTTCAACTGAATATCGAGCCCCCTTGGCTCGCGGAATTATTTTCCTTTTTTGCTTTTTCGGAATTAGGACTTAGGCCAGGGATTTAGGTACTTTGAATTTTGTTGCGCCCGCTTGCGTGCATCTTGCTGCGCTGGGGACTCGGCTCTGGCTGGATCGCACCCTTAATGTTGTGTAACTGTCGGGCGCGATTGTAACTGTATCTTTCTTCTTTCTTGGTTTCCTCGTGTTTGCTCGCCTTCTCCTTCTTCCTCGCCTCACATACTCTGTTATAACTAGGCAGAGCGCCGGCATGACCGGATCGATGTGTGGAGTGTGGCTACGACCCCCACGCCACGGCCTGGCCATGAAGACGTAGGCACTTCCTCTCCTCTCCTATCCTCTTGTCCATCTGGGATTAATCTCGTACCTTTCACGCAGGCATGCATGCTATAAATTTGGCAAGCGGGATTAGTTTGCTCTCTAAGAATTTCGAGGTTAGCGCAATCAGTGAGGGCCGGCTGACGAGCAAGTTGGAAGGTGAGTGAGTACGAGAGTTGGGCGATCCGATAAGCTGGTGTTGAGCTATGTGTCCCCCTAGGACGCGGCAGCCTCTGACTCGGAAGCGGCCGAGGAGGTCGGCCGTGGGCCTGCGGCCTAGGCCGGGCAGCCAAGTTTTTTTGTGCCTGCGCCACAACCAGGCAGCAGCGCACGTGGTCTGCGCACGTCGGCCGTTGTCGGCTTGTGCAAAAAAAAAAAAAAAAATCAAAAATTTGGGGGGGAGGTTTTTGATCTGTGAAAAAAAACTAGAAAAAATAGAAAAATAAATAAATATCGATTTATTGATTGTTTTTTTATT